AGACAACTCTTAGACCTACAGCAGTAACACTGCTTGACTGGTAAGGTTAACAAATCTTGCTCTATATGTTTGCCAAGTCACACCACTTTGGAATCATGGAAACAACCATATATAAACATTTATATAACTATAAAACACAATATAGTTTTTAATGTTATATAACACCTCATTTAACAATCATGCACACATTAGATAAAATACATTTCATACTATTTTAAAAACACATTTATAAAAACACATTTATAAAATAACTATATAACATATATCACCACATACACGTATTTATCAAAAACTTTTTAACTTTAAGCATAATATAAACATATATGCAAACTTTTAACAACTATAAAACAACATTTATTAGCATCAATTATTATTAATGTAACAAAGAATGCAGACTACAATGAACAACATTGTTAATAAAAATGAAGTTATGTCAGACAGTAAATATTTATCTAAAGTCATGAAAAAGATAAAACCATTTAAGAATTAAATTAACAAATTCTAATAAATACATATTCAGATACCTTAAAATGAAGCATAACACAACGCTCTTTTGACAAATTCCAGAAGAATTTTTTTTAATTTTTCTATTCCTTATTATTTTTCCTAAGAGAAAATATACATATAGATATAGAGAAATATAAAATAGACTGAAATAAACGCAAACTTATGTATATAAACTGTCTTATTTTATTCAACTTTTCATCTTAAATATATAAATAAAAATTTTTTCTCATTATTCTTTCTACAAAAAAAAATCTTTATTTATAAATAAGAAAATGAATTGAACTTACTAAAAGTTTCAGATTATTTGTATTTTCTGCCTAAAGTATGCGCGCGCAGATTTTTTTGGAAACGAGAATGTAAGCATTTGCGAGTCATCTATGCAATAATTTTTAAAACGCTGGACCAATTACAATACTCTGGAACAACCTTCAATACCTTGGAATTTTTTAATAAATACGCAATGCTAAATTTAATTCATCTATTAGGCTGGTGCTGAAGTATTTACAATTTATTGTTTTCAGGTTAGGATGGGGAATGATATATCGGGTGGACACGGAATAATCCGGTCAACTTTAAATTTAGATTTTTCCAAAACCACAAATGCTTTTTAATTTTTTTTTTAATTAAACCTTACTTCTTTATTTTAAATGGTGTTAATAAATTTTTGTTTACAAATTAATGATTTGCAAAATGTTTTAGAAACAAATTGAGGTGCGTAAAAAAGTTGTAAATTTTTTTTGCAAAAATACATCGACTTGATTGCTAAACGCACAAATGTCCCAAAATCTACAGTCATAAATAAAATAAACAAGTTCAAGACTACCCAAAGCTTCGAAAGAAAACTTGGAAGTGGAAGAAAAAAAACTTTCCCTAAATTCAAAAAGTTAAAGTCGATTTCACGTTCAATTGCAAGAAATCCATACCAGTCACAGCAAGATCTAGCAAGAAAATTCATGACTTCTCGTTCTTATATCAAAATAGTACTTAAAAATGCTGGAATTAAAGCATTTCATAAAAATAATACACCTAAGAAAGGCTTAAATTGTGAAAATAAAGGAATTCGACGCGCAAAAAAGTTGGTTAAAATAATGGTGGATAAAAATATGTGCATAATTGAAGACGACGAAACATATTGCAAGGCAGATTTTTCACAACACCCTGGTCAACAGTTTTAATATGAACGCAAAGATAAACCTGTTGATGATCAATTTAAATATATTCGACGAGAAAAATTTGATTTCGAGTTCCTTGTGTGGCAACCAATTTGTAGCTGTGGTATGCAGTCCTCTTGTTTTGTCACTTAAATGACTATCACTGTTAATCTCTATATCAAAGAATGCCTCCAAAAAAGACTTTTCCATTTTTATAAAAAAAAACACAAACACCGATGTCTCTTTTGGCCCGTTCCTACTGCCTCTCACTATTCTAAAAAAGTTCTACAGTGGTGAAAAGATAATTATGTGAAAATTGTTTCTAAAGATGCGAATCCTCCAAATCGTCCTGAAGAGCGCAAGATTGAAGATTTTTGGGCATTTGTTAAAGAAGTTCTTTGTAAGATAGTTGGAATAACAAATAGTAAAAAGGACTTGCAAAAAAGTGTATTGATGCCACCAATATGGTGAAAAAAGAAAAAATCTGTGAAATGATGGCATCAACCCGATATAAAGTTCGATTTCTTGCCAAACAACCCATCAAGCCCCTTTAAATTAAGTTGAAACTCTAATTTATGTAAACAAATTTATTAATAAAAAAATTGAAATAAAAAGCATTTATGGTTTTAGAGAAATCTCAATTTAAAGTTAAACGGATTTTTCCGTGTCCACCCGACATCTTGAGTCATTGCATGGGTTTTGTCCGTGTCTCAGTTTTATGTCTAGACTACTCATTTAATTATCTCATTATGAGAATGCAGCTCTAAAACTCAGGTTTCCTGAACTCTATGGAAGCTCTCAGAGAGACTTATTCCATCAAGAGCTGAATGGTGTCCCTGTTCGTACTTTTGGTGTGCATTGTCGAGGCCACATTTGGAACCCTTTGTTTACGGCTTAGGGTTTATTAATAGTAATGCGGGAATCACTTGGACGATTAGATAGTGTACTAAGTACTACCTGTGCTTCAAGTCAAGTTCTTTATTCAATTTAAAAAATGATCATGTATCAAAAAACTATAAAACATAAAAAACCATCGTCATCATAAACTTCTCAACATTTATCATTCACTGATATTTGCAGTCATTGAAGCAACTTTTCTTCTGTTGAATTATTTGAGTTTAGATGTTTTATCTTGTTTTTTTAGTAATGTTGGTTATCTTCCTTTAATTTATAATATTTTTGATATTTGTAAAAACTACAATAGCCACATGCTTGGCCTGGGTATATATATTTGCTAAATCTATGAAAAGCTTGATAAAAAAATATTTTAAGAACTTTTTATCAGTCTTATTTCTTGATTCCACTTATCACATCCTACCTATTATAGCCAACAAACAGTTTCATTCATTTCTTGACATTCTTATTACTTCAGCTTGTGTTTCTAAAGAGATTTCCTGTTCTAGACTCTTCTTAAGCTAGTGGTCCGGACAATTTACATGTTATAGTCTTGCAGAAGTGTTTTCCGGAGCTGTCATCTATACTTTTAAAACTATTAAGCAAGTGCTTACCAGAGTTTTATTTTCCAGTCTGCTTGCCAGCGACATTTTTTATCCTTTTATTCAAAAATTCTAGAGAATGATCTGACTTGTCTAACTACCACCATATTAGTCTTTTTCCTATCATAAGAAAGGTTTTCAATTCTTTAATTAACAAACTATTAAAATCTCATCTTAAATCTAATAACTTACTTTCTGATCATTAATATAGATTACGATCTTCAATTTCTAGCTAATTTTTTAACGGTAACAATTAATAGGTTTTATTGTGCATTAGAAAGACGTGAAAAGGTTAAGGCATGCAGGTCTTCCTCATAAGCTCTCTACTGAGGTCAGGTAGCAACTTTAAAAATCTGAATCCTTCTTTAACAAATATAGTATAAAAGTAGTTTTTGATGGACAGCAATCTTCTTTTTTTCCTGTAACTTAATGGGTTTTGCAGGCTACCCCTTCGTAAACCATATTCGTATTTTAGTTTACAGCAATGATCTCCCCAATATTTTTGCATCTAAAGTGACATTGCTTGCCGATGATACTACCATTTAGTTCTTTCTTGATAAAAAGATAACACTCTCTGATCACTTGGAGGGGGTATTTAAACTTAAAAAAGATCTCATTTTTGCTACAGCATAAAGCTGTAGTGGCTGGGAACTTTAATTCTAATAAAACTCAATTTTCTTTAGCTAATTGTTATTGCAATTAAGCTTTAATTAATTAAGCTTAGTGTCTGGAAACTTTAATTCAAATAAAACTCAATTTTCTTTAGCTAATTGTTATTGAAATATTCATTCAACAATCGTCAAAAGCATTACTGTTCATTTATGAACGGCAATGTACTTGATAAGTTATCTAATATTCTTTTTCTAGGAATAACTATTACTTTCAATCTTTATTTAAAACCACGTATCAATTCCATTGCAAAATTAGCTTCTGCTAAGGTTGAACTTCTTTGTCGTGTTTAGCACTTTTTTTTATCTGAATTCTATTTTTTATCTTTATAATTCTCAAATCCGTCCTTGTATAGAACTGTTGCAATATCTAAAGCGGATCTTTGACTAATGCTTTTTTTTCTTTAGACAAGGTGCAAAAACGCATTGTAAACATAGTTGGACCTGCACTTACAGCGAACATTTAACCCTTGTCACATCATTGTAATGTTGCTTCTCTTTTTTTTTTTCTATGAATACTATAACGGGGAACTGCTTCAAACAGCAAGTTTATTACTTTAAAAAAAAAGCAAGTTATGTAGTTTAACAAATAATCAAACTTAATAACGCAGCCCCATCCACAAGGCAAAGGGGGCCATAATTTCTAACTATCTAATTTTTGTTTTAGGTACTCAAAAAGACCTAACAGTCTTGTAACTAGAAAACCTAACAGTCTTGTACTCAAAAAGACCTAACAGTCTTGCACCTCGGAAACGTACCTTCCTTATCAATGGCGCAAAATAAGCTCAGAGCTTGCTTTAAACTTGGGATTTCTTGCTTCTAAAGCCGTTTTTATTGTGAATATATAGTATTACTTATTAGTATATAATGTTCATGTTCAAGTAAAGAAAGCTTACTTTTTTAAATTTTTTTAAATTTAAAATTGCGGTTAAAATTCTTTCTCACCTATTTAACTTCGAATCCCGAGTTTTAAAGAATCAGGCCGCTAAGCGAAGAAAAAGATAGAACGCAGTATTGTCAGGAAGTGAGAACTTCTCGCTTTTGAAGTAATAGGTTCACTAGTACTCCACTATTTTTTAATTTATCGAAAGTTTTAGTTAACAAAATGTTATTTTCTTAAATGTTTAAAAAAAATATTCTTCTATAATAGTTAAATGTTTTTAATATTTTAAAATTAGCACTAGATGACAGCAATACAGAAATTGTTTATCCAAAACGTCACCACAGAGAACGCTCACAAAACGATTTGGGAACATTAAATCAGGTAGAAACAGTTGTTTTTTCTTCATAATTTTACTATCTATCATAAATTGTAGCGAAGCGTTGCAACCTGAAAAACTTTTTTCCTTTTTTTTTTATTTTTTAAAATAGTGGGTATATTTAACAAATAGGGGTTGATTAAATAAATATATTATGATTGGTCATTTTTATTTCACTTTAAATATTTAACTGTTCTTTGAAGGTAAATAATTAATGAAGAGTACACACACACACACACACACACACACACACACACACACACACACACACACACACGCACACACACACACACACACACACACGCATATATATATATATTTATATATATTTATATATATATATATATATATATATATATATATATATATATATATATATATATATATATATATATATATATATATATATATATATATATATATATATATATATATATATATATATATATATATATATATATATATATATAAATATATATATATATTCGTTAGGGCATGTTTGTTTACAACTTATTTTGGATTTAAGTGTTTGGCATTATGGAGATTTTTTATAAATAATCCAAAAATACATTCTGAAAATTTTTTTGAAAATAGTTTCTTTATGATCGATTTTAGCTTCGAAGTCGTGTCCCAAGGTTTTCTGCGCAACATTTACTGCAGCGCACAGTGACTCAAATCAACGAAAAATGCCAATAAACCACTCATCACTTTTTTATAAATTAAGTGCCCTTGTTAGATAATATTAAATGACAACGATTTTTTATTTCAAAAGTAAAAATAATTTTTTCATAAAGCTTTTATTTAGTATTTTATAGGTAAAAGAAGTAAAGAATATGATATTATTTTCAAAGAAATCTGAAAAATGTGAGGCTTTTATTCAACCAAATTAGAGAATTTGAAATTTAAATAAAAGTGAATATTTATTTTTAAAATAATATTTTGACTCTATATATTTCCAATATACCGTAAGATTGGGTGGCTTTGATGAAGGCCACATAAGTTATTTCCTCAAACACTTAGTACTTTTAGAAGTGCATAGAAAGGACAGTTAGAACTATTTGTCTCCCATTTGAAAAATATTTACCTGAAGTATCTTTTAGGTGGTTTAATTGGTAAGCCAAAGTTGCCCTATGTGTTAGGGTAACTTTGGCCCAACCCTGTCAAAAAGAAATAAATTTACAAAAATTAAGTGACAAAAAAAATTTAGTAACAAAGTTCTTGTATACATGAAATAAAATATAGGTACAAACTAAACAAGTATAGGTTTTTATTCATTTTTATATGCATTTATTCATTTTTTTATGCGCCTTTATTCATTCTTATATGCGCATTTATTCATTTTTATATGCGCATTTATTCATTTTTATATGTGGTTTACAAAAGCAATTGTAAAAAAGCAATTTGAACCAAAAAAAATCGTTTAATAAAATCATTGAAAAAGCAGTGTATTATTTCAAAACAAATTTTTCTTATTTCCTGGTAAACGAGCTTAAAAATACTTAAGACGAAGACTTTTTACATTTGATGATGGTTTATTTAATTTAGTATTAGTTCTTAGTTTAATTTTATTACATTGTATTAAATTGTATTATTGTATTAAATTTCTTGATTGATTAAGTTATTTTTTAGCTAATTATTTATTTTTCTAGATTTATTATTTATTTATTTAAAATTATTAATATCAAATTTTTACCATATGGGTGGAATAGAAAATAATCGTAAAACAAGGAAAAATGTTACAAAAGAGCAAATTGAAATGCTTAAGCATTTAGTTGAAAGAAATCAATCTACAACAAGCATTTCCACTTCTCTTAATTTATCGAAGCGCACAGTTCGAAATCTTGTCGTTAAGTTAAACAGAGGAGAATTCGACGACATGACTGCATTCAAGTCGTCTTCTGATAAAAAACGAGGTGAAAGACCTATAAACGCCCAAATAAAAAATATTATCGAATTATGCGTACAAGAAAACAATCATTGCACGCAAGAAGAAATAAAAGAAAATCTTTCTGCAGCAGGCTTCAACATGTGTCAGCCTACTATTTCAAGAAAACTCAAACGCTCGGATTTATCAAGAAAACATGTTGTGCATGTGCCAGAAGAACGAAATTCAACACGAATTATTAATGCACGTTATGCATTTGCAAGCGAAATTAACGGAATTTCAAATGAAAAACTTATTTATTTAAATGAAACTGGATTTAATGTGCACACTAACAGCACATATGGTTATTCGCTAAGAGGTGCGCCAGCAATTTTAGAGTCGCCTGCAAATCGTGGCAAGAATGTTAATTTAATTTGTGCTGTTTCAACAATGGGAGTACTTGCTTATGAAACAAAAACTGGAGGCTGGAATGCAGATTCATTTTGCACTTTCTTAACTACAATGATGGCACTAGCAATTAGGAATGCAAATGTAGAAGCGTCGGTGCTTGTTATGGACAATTGTAAATTCCACTGGAGTCTTTCTGTTAGGCAAATACTAGCCTCTCATGGTATAGCTATTAAGTATCTGCCAGCTTACACGCCACAGCTTAATCCAATAGAAGAATTTTTTTCTTCTTTAAAACATACTTACAAGCAGGAAGAAAGGCCTCGAAATACGGATGAGGTATTCAGGAAACTTAAAAATATTATGGATACTACAGAGTATAATATAGTTCCATTTTACAACCATATGCGTAGTTATATAAATCAAGCGCTGGCTCGGCAACCATTTCTTAAATAAATAACAATGAAAACAACCTAATTTATATTTTAAATATGTCTATATAAAAATTTAAAAGCGTATTTATCGTTTATATTAAATTGTATTAGAGATTTTATGGGTGGTTGACGCATATACAAACATAGGGTTGTATAATTTGATATCAATAATAGTTATAAATAAGTAAATTTAAATCGAGATAAATGAATAATTAGATAAATAATAACTTAATCAATCAAGAAATTTAATAATAAAATTACAAAGAACTAATACTAAATTAAATAAACCATCGTCGAATTTAAAAAGTCTTCGTTTTAATTATTTTTAACCTCGTTTACCTGGAAATAAGAAAAGTTTGTTTTGAAAAAATAAACTATTTTTTCAAAACAAATTGCTTGAATGATTTTTTTTTGTTCAAATTGCTTTTTCACAATTGCTTTTGTAAAACGCATATAAGAATGAATAAAGGCGCATATAAAAATGAATAAAGGCGCATATAAAAATGAATAAATGCGCATATAAAAATGAATAAAGGCGCATATAAAAATGAATAAATGCGCATATAAGAATGAATAAAGGCGCATATAAAAATGAATAAATGCGCATATAAGAATGAATAACCCTGTAAGTAGTTATAAAGTTTACTAACTGATTAGCTAAATATAAATAACTCAAAATAAATAAACAAATCTGTCCAGGATTTATTTCTCCATTGCATTTAACAATTACATAACAATTCTCTACAAGGTTTAATAATTTCTCCTTTTTAGAAACATTTTTTGTTTTATCAATATTTTTAAAGTTCTTTTTGCCTAATGCTGAATGATCTAAAGATTCTGTATGGCTTTCTACAACTAAACTTACATCTGCAAAAATTAGATTAGAAGTCTCAGTAGTTCCAGTATTTGTACTTGGGCCAGCAAAGTCAATGTTGTTGGTCTCAATTGTATTTATAATACTGATAGGTATATCTACATTATTTGAATTTAATCTATTATTTTCATTTATAAGGCAATATGATATATCTGTTAAACATAAGCTTTTACCTGGGACAGCACATACTTTACGTCGCTTTGGTTTTTTAAACCATTTGAGAGATCATCCGGTGACTTACATAAATGATCTAAAAATGATTGGCTTACTAAATCAGTAGTTGAGTCTAAATCTATATTACAACATGGTAGTCGTGAAAGCACTTGAGACTTGTCTAATGAAAAAATTCCAGTTTTGCGAAAACCAGCTCTATGGTTGTCATTCCCATGTTCACTTAAGTTGGTAATTAAACGGTCTAAAAGTCTAGGAAATTCACCTTTAGGAAGAGAAGCAACTCTTCTTTCTTTTTCTTTCTCCTTCCATTCACATAATATTTTGCGCCAGTTAATCTTAAAATAAAAACATCTAATGGCTGCGTGAGATGTATAGAGTTTGCTGGTAATGCCACAAACCCTATGTTATTGCTTTGACATGCATTTAGTACTGCAATGCTGTGAAAATACGTTATCACCTATAATGACACTATAATAACAAAAAGTAAAGAGAAAAAACAGTCCTCAAAACATGTTGAGTCAAACCAACCACTTTTAGTGGCCCATGTTCCATCCATGTATTTCATAACGACTCAGCTTTGTAAACAACATAGAGTGGTAGCAATTCACCATTTGTATTGCCACAAAACATTACAGAGAATGAGGTCTTTTTAGAATTAATGATGCGTTCAGGATACTTGCATCCACGCTTTGTTAATTTTTTTTTTTTACCTGGATCATTACTGAGATTGGTTTCATCATAATTCCACATATTATCAGGTGATATATTACTTGTTTCATTTGATAGATTTATAAAGTAGTTATCAATCATATTCGTTCCTATTTCTACTCTCTTTCGCTTTATGTTGCTTGCAAATCTTACTGTGAGTTCTGGATTTCTTTTTTAAAAAAATCAAATCGAATTGCCAACTGGAAAATTATTTTTGAATGAGGTATAATGACGCTTTTTTTTCTCTAAATACCCTTTTACTATGCATCTTAAATCATATTTATTGACAGGAAAACCAAACTCAGATGATTTTATTGCATATGCCTTAAACATGTTTTTTTCTTTTGATGTAAATATTTGCTGACAAACATACTTTTTAGGATATGTCTCTAATTCATGGGGTGACTTTAGCTGCGGCCAATGTTATCCTATGTAGTGGGCTAAAGACAGCCTTTTTTTTTTTTAACTTCAATTACAAAAAAGTAATAAACTGTTAAGCTTTCAAAACAAAATAGAATCAAACACTAATGGTTTAAAATTAAT